GGGCCCGGGCTGAGGATTCGAACCTGCCACCTTAGGTGTATGTGGCTGGTGCCTTAGCCGCTTGAGCCACAGGCGCCGAGCCGGGAAATTTTCTTGAGATGGTAAAGCCTTGGAAATCAATGACAGGCCCAGAGCAAGGGGTAGTTGGACCCTGGGAAAGACGCAGCTCTAAGCTGTGATAGTCAGCCCAGCCAGTATCAATCGCTGGCAGGCTCTTTGGGTGCCAAGTCATAGGCCTTTGTAGCTGGAAGAAACTTAACAGCTTGTTCAAGCCACTTCTGCATTTTATAAATGAGAAGGGAAGGACTTGGAAAATGATGTGACTTTCTTCTCCTTATTAAAATAATTCATACTCACGAAAGACCAGTTGGAAAATATGTGGTACAGAAAAGCATAGAGGTTAAAAAAAAAAAGCAATTCCACCTGTAATAGACAACCGCCACCAGGTGGCGCCAAGCTTAGCTGGCCTGAGCCGGCTGGGAGCCCCAGCTGTGCAGGCTCCTGGCTTTGCATCTCAACACGGTTGTATTCCAGGATCCCACTCATCGGTTCTGAAGAGCCTTTTACCATTTATTGGATCAGTCTTGCTTTCCATATTTTAAATTCTGGGGGGTCTATCCAATCTATAGTGTCTGAGAAAGATGGTTAAAATATTCATTGTTGACAATTTTCCCTTTTGTTTAGTTTTGGCTTTATGTATATTTTGAAGCAGTGTGGTTAGGTGTGTAAAGGTTCATGCCTGATAATGTTCCGGTCAGTGTTCTTTTGACCAAAACGAAATCTCTCTCTGTCCCATAAATCCTTTTTGCTTTGAATTCTATAGAATCTGATTGGTATTGCTATACCAACATTTTTTTTTTTTTTTAATTTTAGAGACAGGGTTGTGCCTGTTGCCCAGGCTAGAGTGCAGTCAGCTAATTATAGCTCACTGCAACCTTAAACACCTGGGCTCAGGTGCACCTCCTTACCTCACCCTCCTGAGTAGCTGGTACCACAGGTATGCACCACCATATTATCTCTTTATATATGTATTTTGTAGAGACAATGTCTATGTTGCCAGCCTGGTCTCAAACTTGGAGCCAAGAGCAATCCTCCTGCCTGGGATTACAAACATGAGCCCCATAATCCCGCCTTACTTTTTAGAAAGGCATATTGCTAAAGGGGGAAAAAATGAAATTTAGAATAGTATGCATGGTATGTGCATAAAAAAGTGGGCAAAGACGATACAGTCTGTTTGCTTAAAAAGATTCCATAAGGCTACCCAAGAATCTGCAGGAGACAATCCAGTGTGGATGGAGTAGGGAGAGGAGAGCAAGATGTTTCTTTCACCCTTTTAAGTTTTGGACTTTTGAATCATAGACATGTACTAGTCATTCAAAAAGATTTTTAGGTGGGTGCAGTGGCTCACCCTGTAATCCTAGCACACCTTCTGGAAGGGCAGGAAGGGTGGATTGATTGAGCTCAGGAGTTGGAGACTAACCTGAGCAAGAGCAAGACCGGGTCTCTAAAATAGCTGGGCATTGTAGCAGGTACCTGTAGTCCGAGCTACTCGGGAGGCTGAGGGAGGATTGCTTGAACCCAGGAGTTTGAGGTTGCTGTGAGCTATGATGCTACAGCACTATACCAAGAGTAATAGAGACTCTGTATCCAAAAAAAAAAATTTTTTTTTAAGTTTAAATCAAAAAAGAGCTCAGCCTGAGAATTGCTACACTTTAATAAGTGAGCTCATGCCATGAGCTCATGCTTCTGTTATTTGATTTCCTGTGTTCTAATTCTGTGCTTTTATCAGGTTTTTTCTTTTTCACATAGTGGTGGGGCTGAATCTTGTTGCTCCTTTCCCCACCTGTTCCCAGTGGTCACCCCCTAGTTTACCCATTTTAAGCTTGTTTTTTCCACCTTGTCTAGAGTTAACCATCTAGACTCTTCCACCAAGCCAGTTGAAAACCTGTCTGTGCATTTTCCTCCACTCTTTTCCCCAGCACCCCTCTCTCTGTATATTTGGAATTTAGGCTCTCATATGGGAAGGGGGAAGGTTGTAAAGATATATATATATTTTTTGAGACATAGTCTCACTTTGTCACCCTTGGTAGAGTGCTGTGGTATCATAACTCATAGCAACTTCAGACTCTTGGGGTAAACTGAGTCTCTTGCCTCAGTTTTTCTTTTCTTTTTTTAGTAGATTTTTTTTTTTTTCAGTCTTGCTCAGGCGGGTCTCAAATTCCTGAGCTCAAGCAATCTACCTGCCTTGGCATCCCAGAGTGCTAGGATTACAGATGTGAGCCATATTGTACCTGGCTGTTTTAAAGATAAATTAACTCATATACTTAATTTTAAGTAATTCCTATCCTTCCTATAGTGGGTTTTAGCACTACTCTCTCCTGCAAACCTTTCTTTGCTACTATCTATTCACCAGTAATTCCTTTGTTGTGTGTCTGTGGGTGGTCATCTTTTTGAGTTCTTTCACACTATTTGAAAATGTCTTTATTTCGCCCCCAATGACAGTGAAGCTAGACTTAGAATTGAAACTCGAAATTCTTTCCCCAGCTGTTAGCAGCTTCTGTTGTACCATCTTCTTGCTGACACAGAGTCTGATGTCAGGTATTTTTTCTCTCTTTGGTAGAAGATCTGCTTCCCATCCCTGCCAGAAGTTGGTTTGAGGATTGTCCCTTCATCCTGGGTGTAACAATGTTTCATCATTTTGGGATTAAACGTTAATCTTTATTTGAAATGCCATCCCTTTCAACCTGAGGAATGTTACTTTTCAGTTCTGAGAAATTGTATTTTTCTTTAACTACGGCCTTGCTCCCCTATTTCCTTTGGGAACTCCAATTCAGATGGGTTCTGGAATTTCTACACTCTGTGTTCATTTCCTATGGTTACGGCAACAAAGTACCGTGACTTTAGTGGCTTAAGACAACATAAGTGTGGAGGTCTGGAGTCCTGATTTAAGGTGGTGGTAGGGCTATATTCCTTCTGGATGATGTGGAAAACAACCCATTTCCTTGCCTTTTCTGGCTTCAAGTCCTCTTCCTCCATCTTTAACACACATCACCCCAACCTCTAGCCCCTGGACCCTGCCATGGACACTAGGACCCCTGTCCTCCCTCAAGCAGAGCCAGCTGCTCAGGCCTCACCATCCAGGGAGAAGCCAGATGACCCCTCACTCGGAGCTGTGTTCAAGTCTTTAAGAAGAGGAAACTGACTTACAAATCTGAAACTACCTTTATTGGGGTCGGCTCAACATCAGACGCCATCAATCAGCAGAATTACAAAACTGTACAGGAGGTACAAAAATAGGCAGTTTGACTTAGATAATGACCCTCACATCATCAGGCTTTAAAAATACACATAAAAGTTGTACAATCTGGCAATTTATAAAATATAAAGCTAAAAAGAGGATTTGGGGTTCCACAAAGAGGACTGTATCATACACTTAACACATACCAATTAGACAGTCAACCATCCACAGAGAAGACACAATGGCACAGAATATATATATTTTTAAAAATCACCTAAAAATTAACATTTTACCCCAACCAAATTATTCACCCTTTAAAGACAAGACTACTGTAAAGCGTCCATCCCATGGAAGGATACAGTATAACTTTTCCTTTTCCAGTTTTAAAATGGTCAGGGGTCTTATCCAAAACGGATGTGATGTGCTTTAAGCAAGTGCAATTGTAATGGGATACACTTCGGAGTAAAAATTAAATAAATATAAATAGGTTAAATAAATAGGTCATTGCAAAAAGAACTCTACACAAAGTCTATATCGGAGAATGCCATGTGGTTGGCAGGTAATGCTTTCTAGGTAAGGGGGACGCCCCCATCACAGCTTTAGGGATCCTGAAAAGGAATACTGTATCCAGCGTCACAGAGCATAGCAGGGGCGGGCGGGCAGGGGCTTTGGCTGAAAGGGTCGGTTAAGGTTGCGCTGGGGGAAGGCTCACTGCAGAGGCTTCTTTGCGGCTTTCTAATAAATACAGGAAGGATTTAGGAGCCAATTAAGAAATCAGAACCGGAGTTAATCTTGGGAAATCACTGTTTCATAAAGAAAAAGTAGAGGAAGAAAGTAAATACTTTGGTGTAAGATAATGGTCCAACCCAGGAAGGCCGAATTTTTGCCCATCCAGATAGGACACCTGAGGACTCCCTTCCAGAGCCAATGCCAGGTCATAGTCAACGGAAATGAGCACTCCAGGACGGTGAAGGGATAGGTGAGAAAAAGAAACTGGAGAGACGAAGAAAAGCAACTTCAGAAACTAAGGCACAGAGAGAGCTCAAAGGAGAACGGAGAGGCTCTTCCTGGGTGTCCAGTTTTCTCCCCCAGCACAGAGGCTACAAAACCAGCACTGGCCGCGTGCCAAGGCTCAGGGTCCACAGAATGCAGCAGTGAGGACCCAGTGATCAGATGGGTATTGCAATGGTCTTGGAGAACCAAACCTGGCCAAGTTCCCACTTTCAAAAATAAAAGTGCCAAGAGGAGAAAGTCATACAACCCAAAGGCCCCGCATCTGTAGAGAGGTTAGATCAGTAGCCAGAGACTCTTCTACAGCAGCAAGGAATCACCAAAGATAACCGAATCACACACACACAACCTCACCAAAGGACTAGGGTCGGCTCTGAGAAGGATTTTTCTCCTAGAATTGGTGGGAAGAAAATATTTTGCAGGATCCACTTACCTGCAGATCTTCCAAAACAACACCCATTTGTAACTGATCAGTTAGTCTTACTGGGAAGAGCCTCTGGCAACTATTGTACTGACAGCAAGCAGGGAAGGAGGGGACACGTTTGTACCCCGGATTTTATATTTCAGCCACTAGATGCCTAAGTGACTTACCAAGTAACACCAATGCTCCCCAAAGTGCAAACGCTTTGGTGCCTAATAACACATGGAGCTCTTCAAAAACTACAATAAAAAAGACTCAAGAAGCAGTAAGAGAAATTCCGGCATATGTGTTAAAGCGGTTCAATGCCAGGTTTAAGACACAATTTAAAAAACTTAGAGCGTCCTTTGGATTCCTAACAGATACAACCACATCCCACTTAAAGATGAAGACAGCGGACAGTGCTTCTACAAAGCTGAACAGCCTTCCAGGAATCACAGAATCAAACCCATCAGCTGTCCCAGCCTGAAGGCTGAGCACCAGGGGAAACCAGAACTCCAGAGCTAGGAGTGGACACACCAGAGGGTGCCCGAGGTGCCCCCACGAGACCTCTTCAAACCAACCACCTGGAGGACTGACCAGTAACTGGGTTCCTAAAGGTGGTGGGGAGCACACAGACCAAAAGGACCTGCCAGATCCCATGATTCTAAGATGGGGCAGTTTTAAGACCAGTCCCCAATGCGTGAATGCTTGGGTTTTCTTTGTAGCAATGATTTTGCTAGAAGCTTCACAAATGCAGCGCTTTCCCCTGTCCACTTCATCTCTGTATCCTCGGCACCCCTTACCCTCTCCTAGCTCCATATGGTAAGTGCTCAAATAAGAGGCAGCTGAAAAAGTTATCTCAAGGCAAGTTGGGCTCAAACAGGGATGACACAAAATCGGGCCACTAGAAATCACGTGGGTACCCCCCAAAGAGAAAACTCCGTGTTCGGCACATGGAGAAGGGCCAGTCCCCGTGGTGGTCCCATTAAACCAATCATGGCACTCTCTCCACCTTTGGATCCTCTCTCGGGCTACTGATACTCAGCCCCTGGGCAAAGCTCCCTGCAGCTGGGCCAGAGGGCAGAGCTGTCTCGGCAGCTCTGCATGGAACAGGAGAAAACACCCGAAAGACGGCCTGCTAGAAGACGCCAAGGATGCCAGCCAAGGGCGCAGAGTTCCCAAGGCTACATGAGGTAATCAATGAGGTTTAAGGATATAGGGTCACGTTAATATTAAGGGGGGAAAATCAGCTTAGTCATTATGAAAGGAAGAACTGAATTTTGCAAAGGCAAAAACAGAGCGTTTGCCAAGTGGCTCTGATACAAATGATCCAGAAAACAGTTTATAAGAAGAAGCAGTGATTTCTCTGTTGGCGAATAAAATCTGCAATTCCATTCTTAATACTGAATGGGGTCTCTGAGTTTGAGGCAGGACTGAACCACAGTAATCCTTCCATCCGGCTGGAGAAATAACGCACAGAACATTTCCTAGCATGGTACCCTGACTGCATTTTAACCTCTACGGCTCTTGGGAGCAAAAAGACAGAGGCATTTCTGACTCAAACTAAAGTGAAAAGTTATACAAATTTTAGGAAAAAAACATGGTACTGACATAATTTAGAGATCATTACTATGGCATTGTTTCATACATTTACACAGCGTTGCTATAATGTTTTACCCTCTTCAGCATTAGAGAATGTTCTAAACACGAATACTTTCTCAAGGGGATGGTTAATTTTGCTACCACACAAGATAGAAGATGTGCTGTAGCTTGCATTCCTTCTTCATGAGTAAGCTTCAAGTCTAGCTTACTTATGCTCATGTAGCATTCTACAGTATGATCAAAATAGAGTTATTAAAATCTGCCAAGAAAAACAAGAAGCTGGCCCATGAAGCACAAGTGACGTTGGCCCTGGCTTCCCACCCCCTGGCCTGAGGGATAGAGGAACCTTATCACCTCCACACTGGCTCAGGGCTTTCTCCCGGCAGCTGTGAGGGTCGCGTTCAGCTGCTCCCCCTCTGGCTCTCAGGACTAGCCCTGTCCTGCTTGATGGCCAGGAAATTCATTGCCTCTCGCCCAAATGTTCCTGAGTACTCCTAACTGGTCCAGGACAATCCAAAGGCCACTGTTCAGGCCACCAGCATGCTGGGCCACCACTGCCTCCAGAACAGAGCATCTTCTCTGCTCCCCAAAGCCTCGCAGACATGACCTCGCCCGCCGCATGGACCACTGACTAGTCCCTAATGTCACGTCCCAAGCTCGGGGCTCTCGCTGCCTTTGTGGAAACATTGGTTACCCAACCTGGGCTCCCTGGGGTGCAGTGACCAGTGAAGCGCCTCCTACGGTGACACCCTGGGAACTCCTTTCTCCTCCTTGCACTGTAACCCTCTGGGTCCTGCTTCTAGCAAAGACTGCGCTCAGCACATCTCCGCCTGGCTGTTCCTAGCATGCAGGCAAAACTTCTCTCCCTTCCTGAAAGGCCCATAACCGATGTCAAGTAGAAATTTTAAAAGGAAACCTAAGCCCGAAGCGAATTTGCCCAGAGAAGGTCGGCGGGGGCTCCTTCACTGTCTCTGGGGCCTTCCTTTGCTGGCCCATCTTCCCAGATTCCTGTAGGGCACCAGGGGCTGCCTTTCCCTCCTCCAGGATCAGCTGCAGAGCGGGCAGCTCAAGGCACTTGGTTAGGGAAGCCTGGTCTCCCTGTGAGTCCGGGAGGTGCCAAGCTCTGAATGGTGCCAACCAGGCCCCCAGTCAACAGCTGGGGCCGTCCAGGCTCAGTGGGTGTCTGGAGTCACGGGGGGCTGGGGCTCTGGGGGCTCGTGGGAGTAGTAGGGCTGGAGGAGCCTCTCGTGGCCGCACAGCTCCATGGCCCGGTAGGTGTGCAAGAGCAGGTGGGGGAAGCGTGACGTGAAGTAGCGCACGAAGTCGTCCGGGAGGGAGCCCAGCGTCTCCTGTACCTCCGTGGGAAGCTCCCGGTAGTGGTGCTTCTGTGAGTAGAGGTGTAGGGGTTAGAGAGCTGGGAGCACTGGCAAACCACCCTTGCATCATTCAGGGAGCAGAATGTCAGTGTCAGGTGGTTTTCAGTAAAGAAAAGGGGGGAAAGTCTCCTTCAACAATCCATCCCGTCTCTGGCCTGCTTCCTCTCATCCAGGAGGACGCTTCACTCCTGGAGTGGCCAGTCCAGCAGGGGACAGTCAGGAACTGGGAAATTCCCAGCAGCCTTAAGTGGAATAAAGTCATTTGGAATTAAAGTGTCTGTCCCAATGGGCCTGCGGGCCTCCTCTGCATCCAGGACAGACCCTGTGTGAAGGCTGCTTGGGGACAGCACAGGTAGCAGTCCAAGGCCCCACAGTGCCCCTCTGCCCTGAGCCCCTGGGACCAGGCCCTGTGTGGAAAGGTTCCTGAGGGCCCCCGTGAGGGGTGTGTTTACACAGTGCCTGTACAGGCAGGGAGAGGACACCCCAAGTCAGCAGAGAGGCTGCCTCAGAGCTCACTCTGTACCTCAGTGTCCACATCAGGGAATAAACAGCCTTTAATCTGTCAAGTCCAGCTTGGGCCACCAGGCCTCTGAGAGGTCAGAACTCCAGTGTGGACAAAAGGATCATAAAACACGTGTGAAAGGAGGCACGTGTCAGAAACCCCTTACCTTATTTCTCATGGCACGGAGGAGGTCCCTTACGGAGCCACCCTTATAGGTTCTGAATTTACGCAGATCTAGAAAAACAGTAAGGGGTGCGATGGTTAAGCAAGTAAGAGATGGGGTTCTGGCTATGCTGCCCAGGCTGGGGTACGGTGGCTCCTCCCAGGCATGATCATAGATCACTGAGGCCTTGAGCTCCTGGGCTCAGTGATCCTCCCGCCTGGGTCTGCTAAGTAGCTGGACCTACAAGTGCATGCCATTGTGCTCAGCTCAAATAAACAAATTTTAAAAGAAAATGATTCCTGTGGTCCCAGGGATTAAACGAGTGGATTAAAAGGGGACCTGACTCTGCTCAGGGTCACAGGGCAGCTCCCCCTGCCCAACCCCCAACCATGGAACCCGACGGTGTATCACTCTGAACTCTGTGATCACAGCAAGATCAGAAGGGGCCACCTGGACCATGATGCCACCACTAACCCGTCACTCTGAGAAACAAAAATGAAACACATCACTGTAACCAAACCAAAGGACACACCCAAGAAAGCCCCCAACGCAGTCAAGTGGTATTTGGAGCCCCTGGAGCCTGGAGCTGCCATTTCTGTCTTTGCTTCTCAGAGGGGCCAATGTGTTTGGGTTCCAGTGTGGTCACCTGTCTGGAGGGGGACGGTGATGTTCTCCCGCCAGTCCATCTTCACCACGGCTCTCCCGCCTCGCTCCAGCTGCTTCACCACCGGGCCGTCCAGGGGTTCCTTTTCTATCCGGTCACTAACGTCCTGTGAGGGAAACAAGGGTGATGGGAGATGGCCGGTGTCGGGAGGTGCTGTGAACAGTCACCCGAATGTGAGTCAGGCTGGTGACTCTGCCTGAGCAGAGTCGGGCGGCAGGCTCTCTGCTCCCTGCACCATGAACTTTCTCCAGGGAGCAGCAGACATTTCTCTAAGGCAGGGAGAGAAGTCACACGTGCACACCTGTGCCTGGACCACAAACACGTCCCCTGACTTTCTCACACACACACACACCTCCACAGCCGTGCGTGCGATGGGTATTCGCCAGTGAGCCCCAAACCCAAACGAAAAGCGAAGCTCAGTCTTGCTCTGCATCCCGAGCTCTGTCTACCCAGTAAAGCAGGACACGTTCAAATCCACGAGGCAGAGGTCGTCACTCCTCACTCGAACACTAGGAAAGGCAGGCGGCCACAGCCTTTTTGAAGAGGAAACTTGGTGGCAAAAGCATGGGCTCTGGAGGCCCCTCTGCATTCCAGCCCTGCTCTGCTCGGATGCTGTAATAAGGACACAGCCAGGAAGCACTAAGGACGAGGAAGTAGTAAGTCCCACAGACACTGATGTTAAGTAGTCTTGGGGACCCACAGGCTTCTCTCTTTGATAAAGATGAAGCCAGACTCGCTGAACTCCTAACTTGAGATTGCTCCTATAAAGCTGGGGAGAGATTAGACTGTCAACTCGAGAATGTTGGGAACCCACGTCTCTGAGTTGCAAAGCCCTGAGAGTGAGCTGACGAAGTGGAAGCCAGGTGTGTCTGCAGGACATACGACTTGGAGATACTGAGCATTTATTTTTATTTGATTTTATTTTTGGGGGACAGAGTCTTACTCTGTTGCCCTTGGTAGAGTGCCATGGAGTCAACAAATCTCAAACTCTTGGGCTCAAGAGATCCTCCTGCCTCAGCCTCCTAAGTAGCTGGGATTCTAGAAACCTGCCATAATGCATAATGCCTTGGCTAGTTTCTCTATTTTTAGTAGAGATGGGGTCTTGAACTCTTGAGACAGGTAATCAACCTGCCTCAGCCTCCCAGAATGCTAGGATTACAGGTGTGAGCCACGGTGCTTGGCCAATACTGAGTGTTTAAATCTCAGCCCAGAATGGGGTAAAGGTCCCTTTGTATGAGTTTTATTCTTTTTCTATATTTTGTCATTGGCAAAGTGACCTGTGCAGTTTTCAGATGTCTCCTGAAGACATCTAGAGTTAAGAATCTTCTTGACACGTCCTGTGGACAGTGATCAATCCTGGTGCTACACACCCAGGGCTGCAGGGAAGATTCAGGTAGCATCGAGCCCTCCCATCCCTGATCTACCCACATGGTCAGGCAGTGTCCTCCCTTAGCAATCGGGGACACAGAAGTGAACGCAGCAGTCAAACGCCCCTGCCCTCACGGAGCTTACATTCTAGGGGCTTCAGTCAGAAGTCCAGGACAGTGTGATGGTCACCTCTGAGTCACAGCTGCTCACGGCGGCCATGTGCCTCATGAGCCTGCTCTTCAGGGCTGTGTGCTGCTCGGGAGGTGTCTGGGGGGTGTTATGCTCAACTCACACTATGGGAGACTTTGCTCTTCAGGGCTGTGTGCTGCTTGGGAGGCGTCTGGGGGGTGTTATGCTCAACTCACACTATGGGAGACTTTGCTCTTCGGGGCTGTGTGCTGCTCGGGAGGCGTCTGGGGGGCGTTATGCTCAACTCACACTATGGGAGACTTTGCCAAAGGCATCGGCTCTTCACCAAACCACTTGGCTATACGACTGTCAAATTGCCATAGGAGTTCATAGCCATTGATCTTATAATTTAACATTATGAAATATCTCAAAATGAGATCTGGGCAAAGGTTCAGTCAAAGATGACAGAAAAAAAAAAACCAATATAAGGAAATGCTTGAATTTACAACACTTGAACGAAATTGTACAGTGGCTGAGATTCACTTCAAAATAATCTGGGTTGGGGAGAGGGTGAGCTAATATTAATACTCGTTGAACCTGGGAGATGGGAAAAGGTGAGTCATTACAGTATTCACTCCACTTCTGTGTTTATTTGGAAATTTCATAACATAAAGTTTAAAAATGATGGCATAGCCATAAGCTAGAATACTACAGTCATTAAAATTTTAGAACTTTAACATCAAAAATACTTGAACTAAAAAAAAAAAAAAACCACTTAAACGATCATGTACAGTAAAAAACAATCCAGGTTATAAAACTGTGTATACAATTTGATCCCAACTCTACTTCAAGATTTATGAGGGAAACGTATTAGAACATCAACCTGGTTATCTCTTAGCTATGGGATTATGAGTCATTTGTTTCACTCTTGGTTCTTTTCTCTATTTTCCAGATCTGGAAAATGTTCAGAGAAGATTTTTAACAAAGGAAGCAGACATCTTTACCTGAAAGAACTGGAGCTGCTTCTCCAGGCTCCAGAAGAACGGGTGTTTGAGCACGTGCTTGGCTGAGGGGCGTTTCTGGGGATCCATCGCAATCATTTTCTCGATTAGTTCATGTGCAATGACGTCTTCTGCAGAGGAGGAAGACAAACCAGCGACTTACCATTGCCAACCCAAAGCCACGATAAAATACCAAAAGCCTTAAAACTCTGCACGCCCTTTGACTCAGGATCCTACTAACAGGATTCTGTTCCAATCAAATGATTACGTGCACACAGAACTTCGGCTAAGAAAGAGAGCCCTCGCTCCACGGTTTGTGAAGAGGAACAACTGGGAATACCCAGCAGAGGCCTGGGGAGATACACTATCGTGCCTCTGTCTGTCGGAGGCAGCCTGTGGCTGAACATAGACTGCCACAGAGAGAGATTCCAGGTGACAATGACAAACAAGCTTCTGCAAAACAGTGTACACAACTTAACCCCGTTTTTGTAAAAGGATGCACATCGTCTAGAAAATGATCGGAAAAACACATATCCCAATGAATTGGCGGCATCGTTCATCCCTGTATAATGGGATTACCAGCCTTCATGCTAATCTGTTTTTCTACAATAAATGAGGAAGTTTGAACATAAGCAGAATGATAATTTAGTTTTAATTCTTTTAAAGGGAGCACTGGGGTGTTATGAGCCAATTATAACCCAGGAAAATGTGAAGTCAGGAAGAAAGACTTGTTTCTGCACCGGGAGTGCGAGGACAAAGACTGTCCCCAGCCCAGCACGGCCTGCACCTGCTGACCTCTGGCCCCACGCGAGAGAGCCCAATTCATGGAGCACAATTTGTCTTCCCAAATGCCAGTGCAGGAAGGGACTTGAGACTATTTAACCTCACAGCACAACTTGGAAATAGGGGCTTCCAAAGGGGGCCTTGGCCATGTTATACAGGTAGTTGGTGACCTGGAGGAACCCTGGAGCTTCTTGGCCTTAGAAGGGGCATCCCAGGATAAGCTTGGCCAGCAACCCAGCAGCTTTGGCTGAGTCAGCAGCTCCTGAGCCCACAGTGAGCAGATGAGGCACTAGGCCCCTAGATAGCAGAGGCGGCACCAGCGCTGTCCTGCAGGGCCATACAGGTGGCCAAGGAGCTGTGGGCGACCCCAGCCTGCTCACCGTGCTTCTCAGGGTGGAAGCAGTCGAGGCTGTAGGCACCCAGGAGGATGTTGGCTTGCCGCTGCAGGGACTTGCCGAAAGGGTGGCTGCCCTCAGAGATCACATAGTAAAAGACGCAGCCTGCAGAGAAGATGTCCACCGTGTAGGTCTGAAAAGAGACACAGGGTGTGAGAGACCTGGGGACGATCACCTGCCACTGGGGGGGGTGGGGGGAATCATTGCTGCTCCTGCCCCCAGAAGGGTACTCGAGAGTCCACAGTGGAGGACGTGGGCTTGGGCGCCACACATCGGGATGCTGGCCGAGCACTAGCCAGCTGGAAGCCCTCGACTTCCTCCCGTATAAGATGAGGACAGTGATAGTCACTTCCTCACAGGCTGTTGTTGTGATTAGACGTATTGACACATGAACGTGTTACTGGAAACAGCCCTTGGCCATGGAAGGCTCTCTCCGAGAGGCCAGATGTCTGTCCCTTCCCCACCCAACACGAAAGTCCTCATAGGCAGGGGTTTCTGCGTGTTGTCTTCTCTGCTGTTACCCCATGGCCCGGAATGGTGCCTGCGCACAGCAGCTATCAAAACTTTGCTAATACGTGAATAAAACAGTTTTTGGTTCAAAAATAGCACAAGAAAGAAACCATGTGACAAGTCTCCAATGAGGTCATTTCTGACGCTACCTGGTAAAGTCACTCAGTCATCCCGTGGAACCATTCAGAGTCTACAGATGAGCTTTCTCCCAGGGAAATGTGCACTTGTGATTCCCAGCTCACACTACCCGGGGTGCAACCTGGGGGCGAGCCTGGGCCCCCACTGTGAGGCTGCACCTCTCACACTCCCGCCAGACAACGTGAGCATCAGGGAGAGCAGGCCAAGGGCCCATTGCTTCCCATGCGGAGGAAGCCCACCCTGAACCACACCACGGGCTCATTCAGCCTCACACAGCCCTGTGGAGCGAGAAGAGCAAATGTACCATCCCCAGACGAGGATATGAACAGAAGTTTCCATGACAACCTCAGAGTCACTGCTGGATACTGACAAACAGGACTAGACTCAGGGCTTCCCATGCCCAAAATGAATCCTCTTTATTCCCTTCACCAGAATCTCCCTTGCATAGGGATGGATTCAGGATGGGAGGAACACGGCCACTACAGCTGGAGCCATCCCCTGATGGCCACTTCTCTTTCCCACAGGACCTCCCTGGCACCCCACACTTTCTGCATCCACTATGCTAAGAGGAGGCACCTTTCTCTCTCCCTGGTCCCACTGATTGTCCTTTCTACACTTATTTTTGTAGTTTAAATATTCCATGAATTGGGAGGTTCTTTTGTTTTTTTTTTTCTGAGACAGGAAAAAAAACTCATTTTGTTGCCCTTAATAGAGTGCTGTGGCATCATAGCTCACAGCAACTTCAAACTCTTGGGCTCGTGATTCTCTTACCTCAGTGTCCCGAGTAGCTGGGACCACAGGTGCCTTCCACAATGCGTGGCTATTTTTAGAGGTGAGGTCTCGCTCTGGCTCAGGCTGGTCTCAAACCCCTGAGCTCAGGCAATCCACCTGCCTCAGTCTCCCAGAGTGCTAGGATTATAGGTGTGAGCCATCATACCTGGCAATATTCCATGAACTGTTAAAAACACAAGTGCCACAAAGTTTAAGGTAGGCTGAATCTTTGGAAAGACTCAGTAAAAGACAGTGGCTATGAGGGTTACTGTGGCATCTGTGTGAGAGATTCGACTGCGATGTAAAGAGTCTCTAGGATTCTGCCCTCAAACCACTTAGAAGTGTCTGAAATGTCCAAGTCTCAACCTAAAAGTCACAGAAGTAGCACACGAGCATGCTTAATGCAAGACAGAAAATGAAATCCAGTAAGTCAAATCCAAAGAAAAGATGACCTATGGCAAGAGATTACTGTGACTTAAAGGACTGCATTATTTGCTTTAAGTTAAAATGAAACGATTAAGGTATGTGTGTATTTTCTTATGGTTCTTCACCATAACTGGCTTTTGTGATTAACTGAGGGGCTGCTGGTCCCCAGTGAGCTGGGTCCCCAGTGAGTTGGGTGAGAGGGCGTCTCCTACACCTGATCTGCCCCGGACGGCATGAGGGAAAGGACGAAAGCCAGGTGCTCAAACATGGGTGGGCTCCTGGCAAATGGAGACAGACGCTAGCTTGAAGGGGCTCCTGATGGCCGAATTTGAAACAATTTGAGTATCAAAAGTAAGGGCAGAAAATACAAAGGAGTGCATTGATTACGGCACTCTTTATAAAATCCTTGAGTCCGTAGTGATTAAAAAAAAAAGAAACAGTACAAAGAGAGCTCTTCTTTACAGAAAAACATCAGCTAAGTGTAGCACTTCCACTAAATTGAGTGCTTCAGACAAGACGGTGGGTAGGTACGAACAACTGCTGTGACAGGGTGTTCACAAGGTGCCAAGTATCACCCTAACCATCACTTACCAACAATAAAGTGGGACACGGACCTTCACGGTGAAGCGGGTGATCCAGGTTAGCACCACTAACAGGGGTACAAAATAACGCTATGACCTGCCGTCACGCGCCTTCTGAGGTGGTGACCTGGGATCTATGCTTGCCAAAACATTGAACTTGAATCTAACCAAGCCGCTAGCTTCTAGTTTCCAGGAAATATAAGGAATAGAGAGGAATGTTAAACAGTGCCATAAACAAGCAACCACACCAGAATGGGGCACTCTGTGGACAGCTGCCTGGCCTCTTCACAAGGTCAGTATCATGGAACAAAATGGGTGGGAATACTGCTGTAAATCCAGAGAGATAATCGAGTGTGAGAGGCGACACCTGTGGGATCCTGGTACACAAAAGCCAGTTCCATAAAAGACATTGGGGGAATAACTAGAGAAACGTGAACGCAGACTGAACGCTACGTGACCGGATGAAAACATTAGCAATTGTGATGAGGTGCGGCCAACGACGTGGTGGTGAGGAAGTGAAACACACTTGTTCTTCAGAGATGCTTGCTCAAGTATTTACGGGGGAAGAGCCAGGATGCCCGCTATTCCATGACAATGGTTCAGTACAGATAAGTGAAGATAACGCAAATGTGCCAAAAGTATTCACAAATGTTGGCTCTGGGTGGAGGCATACAGATGTTCATAATATTCTTTTAATTTTCTGTATGTCTAAAAATTCTCTAGTTAAAAAGCTGGCCAAACAAAACCAAATTTTAAAAATAATAAAAACTGGGGCTCGGCACCTGTAGCTCAGCAGCCAGGGTACCAGGGCACATACACTGGAGTGGGCGGGTTTGAATCCAGCCTGGGCCTGCCAAACAACAATCACAACTACAACCAAAAAAAATAAAAATAGGCATTGTGGTGGGCGCCTGTAGTCCCAGCTACTTGGGAGGCTGAGGCAAGAGAATTGCTTAAGCCCAAGAGTTTGAGGTTGCTGTGAGTGGTGACACCATGGCACTCTACCCAGGGCAACATAGTGAGACTGTCTCAAAAAAGAAAAAAATAATAAATAATAATAATGATAAAAATGTGGGCATTTGTTCACCTGATGCAAGTCCTGATTTTCCGATTTCCCAAAATAAAAAGAGATTGAGGGCCAAGTGCAGTGGCTCACGCCAGTAATCCTAGCACTCTGGAGGCTGAGGCAGGAGGATAGATAGCTTGAGCTCATGGATTCGAGACCAGCCTGAACAAAAATTGAGATCCCATCTCTACTAAAAATAGAAAAACTGACATAAGAGGATCTCTTGAGCCTAAGAGTTGGAGGCTGCTGTGAGCTATGATGCCATGACACTCTACCCAGGGTGACAACTTGAGACTCAAAAACAAAAAAAAAAAAAAAAAAAGAGAGATTGAGACTGAGTGCAGTCTCACTTTGGGAGGCCAAGGCAGGAGGACTGCTTGAGGCTAAAAGAGTTTGAGCCAGCCTGAGCAACATGGCAAGATCCCGTATTTCCAAATTAAAAAATTAGTCAGACATGGGGGCGTGCAGCTATAATCATAGCTACTTGGGAGGTTGAGACAGGAGGACGGCTTGAGCCCAGAAGTTTAAGGCTGCAGTGGGCTATAACCCTGTCTCTGTACTCCAGCATGGATAATAGAGTGAGAACTTGTCTCTAAAAAAAATTAAAAATTAAAAAATAAAGGTGACTGAATTGGTACCAAGTGAATGTTTTACCAAAATAAAAATAATTAGAAGAGAAGGAAAGAACAGATAATCGCCCACATGTGCTCCCTTCATTCATGTGAACATGAGACAAAGTTCACACAGAGGCTCTTGGGTTAAAGGAATGTCATTCTCGGCTACAGGTGTGCCAGCCCCCAGACCCAGAATTCTACTCACAGGGTTCTCCTTGCAGTCCTCACTCAGCATCTCTGGGGCAATCCAGCCCTCTGTGCCAGGCACCCCAGAACGGCGGCTGAAGCTGTGCCTGCCCACTGCTAGCTTCTTACAGAGGCCAAAGTCGGAGATCATGGCCTTGATCCTGCCATGTGCGTTGGGCATGGACAGGAGAATGTTGTGGGGCTTCAGGTCTCTGTGAACTAACAGAGAATTCCAGATTAGTTCAGTGCTTACCCAGAGCAACCCACGCCCGACTCCTGCAACGGGGAGTGTGTCCTCATCACCCCCCCAATATACAGCTGCCATCTCTAAAGGTTCAGGTTTCAACTCTGTGAGATTCCTCCTCAAATTCTCAAGTGACTTGTCACCACACCACCTGACACCCCTCCCCTGCCCCCACATCAATGATGTGGCAAAGAACTGAAACAGAAGTGAGGCCGACCTGAGGCACCATTCACCCCACCCGAGCCCCTGGCAGTACGGCCGCCTCTCACCGATGTTGAGGGAGTGGAGGTGGGCCAGCCCCGAGGTGGTCTGCTGCAGCAGTGTGATGGGCTCCAGGCCGAGGTGGGCAAAGTCCTTCTGCTCCACGTACTGCAAGAGATACACGGCAAGGTCATGGCACACGGCAAGGTCATGGCACACGGCAAGGTCATGGCACACGGCCCTCAGACTTGGCCCCTCAGCTTTTTTTTTTGAGACAGAACCTCAAGCTATCGCTCTGGGTAGTGTCCTGGTGTCACAGCTCACAGCAACCTCCAACTCCTGAGCTTAAGCGATTGTCTTGCCTCAACCTCCTGAGTAGCTGGGACTACAGGTGCCCACCAACACCTGGCTATTTTTAGGTTGTAGTTGTCATTATTTGGCAAGCTGGGCTGGATTTGAACCTGCCAGCTCTGGTATATGCGGCTGGTGCCTTAGCCGCTTGAGCTACAGGCACCAAGCCAGCCCCTCAGCTTTTTGTCTTTGATCCCATTTTAAGGAAGAAATGGGGTGGCACCTGTGGCTCAGTGAGTAGGGTGCCGGCCCCATATACTGAGGGTGGTGGGTTCAAACCCAGCCCCGGCCAAACTGCAACAAAAAATAGCTGGGGGTTATGGTGGGTGCCTGTAGTCCCAGCTACTCAAGAGGCTGAGGCAAGAGAATCACCTAAGCCCAAGAGCTGGAGGTTGCTGTGAGCTCTGATGCCACGCACTCTACTGAAGGTGACAAAGTGAGACTCTGTCTCTACAAAAAAAAAAAAAAAGAAAGAAAGAAAGAAATGGCAAGTATTATCGACAACATTCTCTATCCAAATCTGTATTTTCCAACAGACCTTCCAAAGTGATAGGCTGGCTTGAATAAACAAGCAAAGCTCCAGTTTAGTAATTTACAGTGAGAAAGATGAGCAGGCAAGACACAAGTTTACAGCCTTGAATAGGGAAACCCACAAGGGAGTCCACATGATACTGACTTAGCTTCAGGGGGAGCCTCTAAACTGAGGAAAGGAGTTTGTTAGATGGTCTTATAGCCTGGGACCACCAACCAGCCTCCTAGCCCACACCAGCCATGGCCAGGGATGGGAAGAGCAACCGACCACCTTTCCCAGGGCCGAGAAGGAGAGGCGCACCAACTGCAACTGGAGACTGCCTGGCTCTGCGTTTTGATTGTGGCTAAATGGGTACGGATGCTTGTGCAAGGGCATAAGACTGGACACTGGGAATGAGTACACTTTATCTTGCTGTAGCTTTAGTAAAGTCAATAAAATGGAAGAAGAAGATAAACCCACCTCCTGCAGGGTGGCCGCGCATAGCTCGATGGCAATGTACTGGAACTGCCGGTCCTTCTCTGTGCAGAAGTAGCGGATCACGTTCGGGTGCTCGTCTGATTCCCGTAGCAGCTGGACCTCGCGGTCTGCGAAGCTGAAGCACTCGGGGAGGATCCTCTTCACTGCCACATCTCGGTTGTCAAACATGCCCCTGTGGGATAGGGGGTGGAGCTGTTTGGTGAGAGCAGGGTGGACTGCAGAAACAAGTGAGCCCTGTGGGCCAGCTGGACTCCCTCTCCTGTGCCACCATGGTCACCTCATTTGCCTCCCAGCCCAGAGGCCCCTGACCGACCATCTCAGTGAGTTACCCTCAGAGCAGGACTGGTCTGCCTGTGACTGCTCTGACCCTGCTGTGCCCTGGAGTCTGGCACCCACCCACAACACAACAGGCGCTTAGTCACCAGGTGGTGTTTCTACCACTCACCGGTACACAATTGTGCCCTCAGCTCCGTGGCCCAAGACGTCTTTAGGACAGAATGAAATTTTCCCAACCATCACCATGCTGGTTTCCTCATCTGGGGCAAGACAGGAAAAACAAAAGGTTATTTTAAGCAGACATCGCCTAAAGAACCTTAAGGCTAAAATGGCTTCCTGATCTCAGATTAAGAGATGGGATTTAAGTTTGGCCTGATGGCTCATGATTGTTATCCTAGCACTCTGGGAGGCCAAGGCAGGTGGATTGCTTGAGTTCAAGAGTTAGAGACCAGCCTGGGCCAAGGCAGGTATATTGCTTGAGCTCAAGAGTTGGAGACCAGCCTGAGCAAGAGCAAGACCCTGTCTCTGAAAAATAGCTGGATGCTGCAGTGGGCACCTGCAGTCCTAGATACTCGGGAGGCTGAGGCAAGAGGATTGCTTGAGCCCAAGAATTTGAGATTTCAGTGAGCTATGTTGCCATGGCACTCTACCCAAGGTGACAGAGTAAGACTCTGTTTCAAAAAAAGAAAAGAGAGATGGGATATAAGGGGCTTTACACCCCTAGTAGGCAAGAGCTGGCCATGCCTGCTCCCCAGGGCCACCTCCTCCCCTGCCCCACCCTCTGTATTCTGTTTCTGCCTTTACATTATTGTGAGCACAGTCTTAAAACCTTCCCAAAGAAAGGGATTATCTATAGAGTTTCATATTCATACACATAATGTAGTTATAACTATTTAATGTTAACAAAAATAAAAGAAATCCACCTGCATGATCTGTACCTGAAACGTCCAGGTGGACATGCTGGACATGTTAAGTGAGGAGACCTCGTGGGATACTAACTGCGTTGATCCCCCATGAGTACTGGCCCTGACAACTGACCTAAACCAACAGCCAGGGGGGAAAGCAGATCAACAGGCAGGCACGTTTATACTTGGCCACTGGCTGGCATCGGGAATTTGCTCAAGCCCAATGGGCAGTTCCTCTCTGGTCAGCAGTAATTCCTGGCCTTTAAGGAGAAAGATGGGGGGAGGGCCCAGCGGCCCCAGCAGGCCCCTAGGGGAAAGATGGGGGGAGGGCCCAGAAGGCCCCTAGGGGACATGATGGGACAGAAACCCTGCCCACAGGCCCACAGAGTGGAAGGAAGTCAGGCAGAACGCGGTAAAACCCATGGGAATGGCATTTCGCAATCTCACAGAGACTGTAAGGAAAGACATGGTGCTTTCTTAGGGTGACCAGACATCCCGCTTTTTAACAATTTGTCCCGTGTCCTGTGGCATTTTAAAAAAGTCCCGATTTTTGGAAAGAATGCACAAACGGGTGGGAGAACAGGAAGGGAATATACGGTTTTCGGATGCCATGTGGCTATTTCGCCAGAATATGAGTTTTATATTATTTTTGTTAATTTTATAATGTTAAACTGTAATAATAACAAATAATTGTTGAGAAGTGATTATCGAGAACTGCTTATCAAAGTCTGCATTGTTGTCAGGCCCTGCCCTGACCTGCCCCATCCCCGCCCCACCCCCTACTCCCCCCCCCCATGTTGTCCCGCTTTACAAATGTTAAAATCTGGTCACCCTATGCTTTCTGGTTCTCAGGAAGAGCTCAAATGGAAGACCAAATGGCACCCACAAGGCCAGGGCCTTTACCCTCGTCATCCTGCTCCAGGTAGGGGCTGGTCTTGGAGGCGGAGCTGCCGGAGCAGAGCGAGTGGTTGGAGGCTCTGGGGGATGTGCTGGGGCTGCTGGTGCCCGAGCTCTCCGAGTACGGGCCAGATATGTCCAGGAGCTCACTGTCCTGGGCAGCATCCCCGGAGCCGTGGAAGGGCAGCTGCTGCTGCTGCAGGAGCTGGATCTTTTCCAGCTCCTTCTGGAACTGCTGGTGCTGGAGCTGCTGCTGCTGGTGCATGCTCTGGGGAGAGAGACCACATCCAGACAAGGGTCATTCTCCCTGCAGGGAAACAGCAGCTGGGAAAGAAGCAATCCGTGTAGCCGAGGGAGCAGGTAGACTTCACGTGACCCCACAGGGCACGAGACCACAGAGAAGGCACGTGGAGGCAGAATCCACTTGACAGCTGGAGGTCCTTCCATCATAGTCAGACCACTGCCAGTACTCAGGGGTTCATTGGCCACCAGGGAAGGCCTCTGCCCTAGGTAGAGGGCTGGGTTGAATGGAGGGGGTCCATTCAATTCTAAAATTCTGTGGTTTTTATTAAAGTCTGAGAGTTGTTGCAAAGGTGAAACCTAACAGCAAGAATGGTTATCAGGTGGGAGAGAGCATGACAGGTAGGGGGCAAGGCCCTCTGGCTTGCACCTGACTACACTCTGGCTACACACCTGACAGAAGCTGGCGCAGAGACGGCCAGCAGTCCAGAGGCAGAGGAGGAAGCTGGCGCCCACAGCCTCGCAGGCTCCCACCCAGGCCACACAGCCAGGCGAGTGGCAGAGCAGGCCAAGGTCCTGCTCCCCCATGTCACCAGACTGCCTTGCCCACATCCATGTCTCTTAAATGCTCTGAAGGGTTCATTCCAGCATTATCTGGGAGGCTGACTAAGGGACATGTGTGCAGTCACCAACGCACTGGGCATCTTCTGGCTTTCCCTCTTTCAACCTTGGCGTGAAGTCCTGGAACTGCATCTACTGGCTGAATGCCCTTGGGGAAAGTCGCATGGCTTCTCAGAGCCTATGTTCTCCTTTTGTGGGCAGGGGATCAATAGTAATGACCTCAGGACTGTGTGAGGTACAGAGTTAGACAACAAGGCAAAAACACATGTTGCCAATGCAAAGAGCCATGAAGGGTCTGTCATTCCCAGTCCTATATGGGACATGAGCACCTTGGGCACCTGTGCCCTAACGTGCTAACATTTCAGTGCTTTGAGCAATCTGCCAAAGGACTGTCCCCTAAAATGTTCACTCATAACCTGCTCAACTACATCATCTGTGCTCACTTGTTTGCAACTAGGAGGTCAAAGGAACCTCCATGCTGCTGATCTCACGGGAAGTCTTAAGGGAAGAAAGATAAAAGGAAAATACAGTTAATAATTCAAAATCATCTTCGAGCAAGGTTTATAATCACCTTTTATAGTCTATTACTTGAAAAACAGTAAGATTTAGGTACCCAATTGCCCTTTTCTGAAAACCTGATGCCTTTTAAATTATGTTTTTATAGATAAATATTGGCTTTGAAATGTGACACCAAATAGCAAGAATGGTTATCAGGTGGGAGAGAGCACAAGGGAGAGTTGGCTATTTTTGTCTGGGCCTCACTGACATAAGGAGATAGGCACAGAAGTCCAGAGGCAGGTGGGAGGGCAGAGGGAGGGGTGGGCCGTACCATGGGGTAGGTGATGATGAAGGCCACCCAGCCGATGAGCAGGAAGGTGCTCAGGATGATGGTGGCCATGTCCTTCAGCATGGAGTCCACGGGGGCCTCGGGCTTGGCAGGGGCACGGGCAGACTTCTCCTCCACACCCGAAGACACAGTGGTCGGCGCATTTTCTGTAGTCTGGTCCACCAGGCTGATAACCTTGTGTGAGAGAGAGCTGCTATGTCACTGGGAAACCTCTAGCCAGGGCACGACTGCACTGGAACATGCGTTTTTGTTTTTTTTTCTTAAGCTCACCAAAGGTCACATAGACAGCCATTGCTCTGTGAGGCCAAGCAGTCCTGCAGTGATGCTACCACTATTCAAAAACAGATTTTACAGGGATACTTCTGGAAGTGCCTTCAGACTATATGCTTTTGAAAACCCTTGATGAAGGCTTAGTGCCTGTGGCTCAAGTGGCTAAGGCGCCAGCCACGTACACCCAAGGTAGCGGGTTCGAATCCAGCCCGGGCGCCAAACAACGACGGCTGCAACCAAAAAAAATAGCTGTGTGTTGTGGCGGGCGCCTGTGGTCCCAGCTACTTGGGAGGCGGAGGCAGGAGACTCGCTTGAGCCCAGGAGTTGGAGATTGCTGTGAGCTGTGATGCCATAGCACTCTACCCAGGGGGACAGCTGGAGGCTCCTAACTCAAAAAAAAAAAAAAAGAAAGAAAGAAAAAAAAAGAAAATCCTTGATGAAAGCAAAAACTTCCTCCTTTGATGGGATGTTTGATATTTAGAAAAATTCTGAAGTCATCTGTAATGCATTCTGGTGAAAAGTTGGTGATCAGTTTGTTTCACATTAAAAAGGAAAGCCCCACATATGTGGAGGCTGTGAAGTAATAAAGTTGACTTACGTTGCTGGTAAACTTCCAGGGCAACCTCAAAACTAAAGTCGCTTATTCAATTACTCTATTATTTTCCCAAAGTTTTTAAAAAGTATCATAAGATACTTTCTAAATCAGAATTTTATATCAGAATTTTCTTTCTTAAAGAAAATTTTACTTAGAAGCCTAAAATCAAATCACATAGAAATCTAGGGCTTCATGGAACAGTCTAGAAAAATGCCCTGGTTGGTTCTCAAACGTTTAGTATTCCAGGTGTGCACACAGCCTCCCAGCCATGCATGCTGGATCTCCGCATGCTTTCATTTCGTGGCTGTCTACCACGGCCTGAGGCAGGGCTACAGGAGCTGTTGGGTCCACATGGCTCGCTAAGGCCTTCAGATGGCTCCACCCCCCTCCTCTTTGCTGGCCATGCTGGGTGTCTTCCTACAGAGCCACCCTCTAGCCTCCACTGGCCTTGTGTCCCAGAAGGCTGAAAGTGTGCTCAGAGCAATGGTCTCCTTGACCCTTGACCCTTGGTGAAGCCAAGAGGGGGCACCAGCAGGTGAGATGCAGGAGGAGAATGAGGTTGGGTTCAGGGGGCTCCTGGCCTGGGATCCTTTCTGCCACCTCCGGCTCCAGGCCAAGGTTTGCTACAAGAATCCTTGGACTGTCCACATCTGTGCAAACAGTCCCATGCCACTTTTGATTCAGGTCTGTGCTGTTTTTCAACTATTCTTAACTCCTCCACCAGGCTCGTTCCAGGCCTGGTAACATGGTTCCTTCTTACTCATTTTCCACTGCTCCCTATCCGCTAGCCTCAGATCCAGGCCCATTTCCTTACAGCATTCTTCCCACGCCAGGCCTTCACCCCCTGTTCTCCTCCCTCCAGTACCCCCCACTGTCCCGCTCCCTGACACCAGGCCAAATGCTACCAATCTGTCCAGGTCCAGCTGAGCTCGGTCCTGCTGCCCTCCCTGCCCTTTCTGTCACTAACTGCTGCTTCTCCCCATCAGCACTTAACAGTTTACATCGTCTGCTATGGATCTGGTGCTTTCCTCCTCCTTCCTTGACTAGACCACGAGCTCTAAAGACAAGAACAAAGCCCAGTACCTCATCTCCCCAACACCTGACATGAACAGTCACTTGACTGGTCACATCCCACTCACTTCCTCAAAGCTCTTTTTCTCTGAATCTGCAGGAATCACATTTTCTCGATGCTTGGGCAGATTGTTGGGAAATCTCTCCAGCATCTTGGTAGATGCAGACAGCGGGGTCTCATGGTGTCCTAGGAGAGGAAACAAAACCTTTAATGAGGGCAGTTTCCCAAGCAGTAACACTTAAGACTCAACTCAGGCAAGAGTTGCTACCCCCTGGTCAATGGAAACCCTCAGACGAGACCACAAGTGGGAGAAAACTAGAGGTAGATACCCCTAAAATTTCATCAGAACAGTCACTGGACAATAGAATCCTCTGAGTCTCATAACAAAGAGCAAAGATGTGTCCTTATCATGAAAGGGATTGGGACATCAGGCTGCGCTCAGAAGCAAGACTCCCCAGAGCTGCATGTGTCCCGTCCACAGGCGAGGCACTACGAAGCTTCATCAGAAGTTCAAGGAGCCCTTTCAACACTTTGCCCTGTAACACATTTCTGCCATGGCCACTACGTTCCCATCTCCCAGTGTTTAAATTGCCCAGGTGTTGTTCCATTCCTACTCACATTAAATGCACAAACACTAATGAAAGCTGATGAGTTTAAAAAAAAAAAAAAGGTCCTGGGCGATGCCTGTGGCTCAAAGCAGTAGGGCAATGGCCCCATATGCCGGAGGTGGCAGGTTTAAACCCAGCCCCGGCCAAAAAACTGCAAAAAAAAGTTTATGCACAATTATTGTGATATCTGACACCAGAGATAAGCGACAATGTCCTCACGAAATCCACATGCTTCCTGTAGGCCACAGGCTGGACACCTCTTGTCAGCCAGATGATGGGGAACCACAGCTCTCAGCATTCACTGTTCTCTACACTATTTCATGGCTACTGAGTATTCATTACACATTCACTGAGCACCTACTGTGTGCAAGTTACTGTAAGAGATACAGTTGACTAAAATGAAGAGCTGGGATTTGATGTGGTTTGATAATCCACTCAGCTCTAAAATGAAATGACGCACACACTGCCCCGCAGAGCCAGTCACCTGCTCACGTGAGGCTGTCGGCAGCCTGGCTGCTTTTCCTGTCTGCTCAGAACCCACCCTGACTCAGGTCTCTCTCACCCTACGATCTTCCAGTGTTCCCTCAAATCTACCAAAGATTTCATGACATGTGTGCCAAGGTGACAACAAACAGGAACTAGTCCAAGCTATTCTAGAAAAATCCACTTTAATTCCCCATCTAAAGGTCAGTTCTTTCTCTACAACATAACGCTGCCTACAGGGGAAACCTACTTTCGCTTTGACCCACCACTGGTTTTCTGCCAGGACAGGCTTCGTATGGTTGCAGGGTTTCCCCATGAGTGGTCTGTGCACATCAGACCTAGAATCAGATTTGCTGGGGGGGGGTCCAGGAATCTGAATGTGGGTATCCTTGGTAACTCGTGGCTCACTAATGAGACATACAGTCTAAGAGAAATGAGGTGTCCTTCCTTCCACATGCCACCTGTGCTACAGTCTCCCATCTCCTCCCCCAGCACCTGCTCTTAGTGCTGAGTCCTACCCATCTGGCAGGGCACCTACCCAGAGATGGCTATGGAAGTCACTGGCCTAAATCCCCTCCCCTCCTCGTAGTCTGTGGTCCTTCTTATAAACAGGCTTCTCCCAGAGCTGGGCTGTTACTAACATCACACTGCATGCTCTGAACCAGCAAACTCATCCAGGGGCTCATTAAACACTTCTGTAGGAACAATACCTTCTTCAATACCTTGAAGTTCTTGATTCATTTGTCTGTCATCATCAGTTAGGTCCAGACTCCAGAGCAAATAGCAAGGGGCTAGGCCCTGCCCCGAACCTACTGAACTAGGCCCTCCCGGGGTTATGCTCTGGGGTCCTGCTCTGGGGTAACCCACAGACCACTCCTCTCAATCTAATCAGACTCTTTTATTGTCAAGACTAATGTGAACATGGAGTATCTTTAATGTCTTGCACAAAAACTAAGCAAAGGATATATCTGAACATAAATGGGCGTATCCTTTTACTTGTGGCCTTAATCTATAGAAGATTGTTGTCAAGCAGTCCCATTGTCTTATTTTAAAAATGACTGGCGGCTCGGCGCCTATAGCTCAACCGGC